TTTGCTTTATTACGTATAATGTAATTCTCTTAATAAAATGAAGGGCAAGATCACCTAAGGATAAAAAAAAAAAAAAAAAAATAATTATAGTATACTATATAATGTATATTAATATTTAAATTCATACCATAGTTGCCTTATTTGGATATCGTTTTTGTACAATTTCTAAACGTTCTGACTGTTTTGGACGCAAAAAAAAATTAATTAACCGTTTTGCATGAGCTATTAACATACTTACAGGTAATAAAGCTTTTCCAATTATTAATTGTAGTGTATGTGCACTACATCTTTGCCACATAACTCCATTTAGTTTTTTTACAGCTTTTTTTATATTTAATGCATTATCCGTAGTAATTGAAAATACTTTATTAGTTAATTCCCAGTATTTAATTACTTTCTCAATTGTTTCATAAATATTATCTGCTGTATGAGGATATTGTACATATTGTATTGCAAGTGTAACTTCATTTAATTTAAATGAGTTATCAATATATGCACAAGTAATTCCAAGATACCCTTGCTGATTTCTAGCTGTCCAAAAATCTATTGTAAAAGATACTTTAACTATATTTTTTTTAAGATAATCACGTAACAATGGAACAGAGTAATCATAAGCCCGATTAATAACTTGTTTAACTAATTTTATATCTGGAATATTAAATGCTAGGTCAAATGCATTTATAAATTGTTGAAAATGTTTATTTTGAATAATATTTAATGGTTTTGAATCTGCAACAAGCTAATTAATAAGTAAATGAAGAAATTCTTTTTGTTTTTGTTCATTATGAGGCCGAACAGAAAGAATTGGCTGTGTTGGCTAATTATATTAAATAAATAAAATTTTTATTTAAACTTATAAACTATAAAATAATAATAACTATTAATTAATTTAATACCTTTTTTGGAATTTGATTATGTTTTGTAACCTCATGTTCCGAATCTAAATGTATAATAAGATTTCCAGTTGAGAATCCAATTCGATATGTTCTTCTACATTCTTGACCAGATTCTATTTCAATTCTACATATAGCATATCGTATCCACCCTTCTGTTTCTTTGCGAAGTTCTTGATAATAAAATTTCCAAACCCAACTAACTTTATTTGATGTATCTACTTGAATAACTGTCCCAACTGGTGCTTCTGCTAAAGAAGTTTGAGAAACTTGAGAAACAGTAAGATTGGAAGCGGAAATTTGTGTTCTTTTATTAGATGTTCCTTCTTGAGAATTAGAAATATTCATTATTGTTGAACAATTTTTTCTTTTAGTAGATTTATTCATAATATTATAAATTCGATGGTTTGTATACTGTTTATTAAACACAATTTTTAGTTTTATACCACAGTACAAAGTAACTACTTTAAATCTGATACAAAAATGATAAAAAAATTAAAATATATAATTATATTTATTAATTATAATAAAAATACATAATGCAAAGTAAGCAGTAATATTATTATACGTAAGACATAATATTATTAATTATAATAAAAATATATGACAATAATGCAAAGTAAGCAATAATATCATTACAAGATGTAATATTTTTTAATGCAGAAAATTCAGATAAAACAGATAAAGTCAGATATCTTCAGATTAATTCGGATATATCTAATACAGATTACCTCTTAAATAGATCATCTGATATCTTTACAAGATCGGATTTTTAAATAGATATTCGGATTTCAAGATATCAGATCGCATCACTACATGTTGTCACAATATCATTTTTTTTTAACAATATTTGTTGTTATATTGAAGTTATATAGCTACTATCTTAATTTGATATTATTTTAACTTTTCTTATAAGTTTTTTATAGAAATATTTTGAAATTTAACATATTACTGCAATAATAATAAATCAATTATATATATTTTTTTATTAATTGTATTCAAACGATTTTATTAACATTAAGATCCGATATTGCCTCTTTGAATATGATAATTATTAATGTAGAAAATACTTCAGGCAAAGAAATTTGGAATAATAATAAAGATTTTTACAAAATATAATTTAATCAGCAACTTTGAACCAATATTTGTTCGATATCTTTAATTAGATCAGAATTAATAGATCTAAATTCATTTACCTAATCTAATAATTTAATTATGGTAATTTATGTATCGTCTATAATATTTGCAAATTTTAAAGGATCCGGTAGCTAGTATCATACGAACTACATTGAAAATCCTGGAGAACAAGTGTTCATGTTGAATTTACTTGCTGGAATAATAGAACAGTATATAATTTTATATGTAATAATTAATTCGACAAAATCAAAGTACCTTGCATATTTGTTGTGATGGTCTATATATATTATTTTGTTGTCTAAGATAACAATTTAGAAGAGAAGAAATATAATTCTGTTATTATTATAAGAGTAATTGTTCACACCTGTTCACATCCATTGTCTTTCAATATGATCACATTGTTATACGTAATAATTTCATCATCCTCATGTTCAGGATCATCAAGTTTTTCAGACTTTTCAGGCGGACAGATTTTAAGCTAGTATCAAGAAGATTTTGAAAACATGGATTAAAAAGTTATAACTTAGATGTGATTGTTATTTTGGCACTGACCTTTAATTCAAAAATTGAACTAACTGGTTTATGATCACTTAACCTAATATCCATATGACTCTTGTATGTCAATTGTTTACACCAGTCGCTTTCCTTACTCCTCCACAATATTCTGTCTGTCCATGCAGGTGATCTTTTCTTTTCACTTATTGAAGAAAGCAATTTATAAATCTAGTATATCTAATGCGACATATTAATTAAATAAATGTAATAGTAACCTGGTATCGAAATCATTTGTTTTAAAATCATATTTATAGGTTGGCGGGAAAGTTATTGTACCCTCTTCAAACTCATAAAATGCCTGCTTATTTCTCCTTTGCATATTAAGCTAATATATTTATGTTATCAAAATTATGATACTGTTTAAAGCCGAAAATAATAATGCCATCATACCTGGTCAAAGTTTAGCAATAATTCCATGTCACCTTTTTCTAACATCGATTTGACCACCGGTTCTGGTAAAGTATCAATACGATAATTTAAGTCCCCCATCCAAATTAAATGACTAAATGATGGTAATATTTAGTAGTAGTCAGAGGAATTTTATTTGTAGTTTCTTGAAATTTACCAAAAAAGACAACAACAACAATAATAATAATAATAGTATAATATTCACTCATTATCAAATATTGATATTATAGCTCCTGCACCAACAACATCCATGGATGGATTATTCGGCGCATTTATGCCCGGAATAATCATTCCTCCCATTCCGACAACAGCGGCTGCAGCATACTTAGCAGAAGGGGGTATATAATCGCCAACCCAACCATATAGTGAGGAATACCCCTCACTTGTATCAATAGGAAAAGTCATTCGTCTGCATATTTCCATGTAATCTTGATTCCTCCTTTCTAACCCTCCTGGATTTGCTGCCAAATGGCAATTCACAAAGCACAGGTATGAGCCATGAAAACGGAATCTTATAGCTACACCACCTTTATTACCCTAAAGAAGGTTAAACCAAGCATTATATATACAAATATTTATTTCTAGGACTATCTTTTAGCCCTCAAGTGAAGTTTGATATTGTTAAATAAACATTTAATAACTTATATATTATCCCTTAAACCGACTCGCAGGTAAATTACCTGTATAAAACGTAGTTCCACATTGATGGTACAGTAGTACGGTTTAAGAGATAATACTGTGGGACACACACATCATACTTTGCGGAATAAATATCCGTCAAATAGAGTACCCTTCTTTCCTTCATTAGGTAATTTCGATGTAAAGACTCGGATACAATGTTATCTAGTTAACTATTAATACTTCCCCATAGTATAGTACCTCTCTCAATTTCTGTTTCATAGGTCATAGTATTCTTCTAGCATTTTACCCGGATACAAATAATAATTTTATAATGTCCCCGGGACTTTTATTCCGCAAAATACCATTATATCTGAATAAGCACTCCAATTTCTGTACTTGTCCATAAAATTTCATACCATCATGCCCATCAATCCTACACCAGCACTATCGCTCCGGATATCTTTGATGTATGGATGGTGCTCTTTTTTTACCAAAACCATTAGAACTATCCCAACCAATTTTTTAGACATTATCTATAAATTTCAAACTAATTTTAAAGTTAGAATCAAATTATTATAAAATAAAAAATAATTAATCAAATTTGAAACCTGCCTTCCAATAATCTTCAGCTTTATCGCCCAATGCTTTTAATACAGCATCGGACCACTCTTCCTCTCTGACGCTATCATTCAATAAAAATGCTTCTGCACTAAGATCTGTCTCTTGAAAACTAATCAATTGATTTCGATCATCAATTTAAACGAATTAATTTAATTAATTAATAATTTATCTTAAACTCACCCTATCGCATAAACGTCAATGTCATAATCACATTCGAGCCACGGTACGAGAGACTCAGACACTTCTTGTCCGCTTACATTAAACGTACCACTAAATACACTATAAATTAAAGAACAATGATATTAGGTCTATTTCACTATGGTCATGTTTATAATAGAAACACGTTTTTCGAATGTCTTGCCTAAATTGAATGAAACAACTTACCGAATAGTTCGTAATTCTTCTGAATCGCTTGAAAGAATAGCAGACTTTTCTGAAATTTCTTTCATATTTATAATATGTACATAACGAATTTCACCTTTTAAACATTGAAAGCGTGCAAGAAATATAGCTGATAGTAAAAAATTATTCTACGTATGCAGGGTTGAAAATCGATTTCTGTTGGAAAGCAATTAAGGGATCTACAAGTTGCAGTACATGCAAGTTATACAAATCGAAAATCGAAAAATCGATTAGAACCAACTAAATCGATTGGAAATTTTTGAAAAAAAAATAATTTATCGATTGAAAAATTTGAAAAATTTTATAATAAAATAATCGATTAAGATCGATAAATCGTTTAGTTGACAACTAATTGATTGAAAATTTTTGAATTAGTCAACTAATCAATTGAAAAATTTCAGCAATTTGCAATTTGTAACACTAATGCAAATTAAATTTTAAGAATAGGAGGTACTACTTTAAAATTATATATAAACTTAATGGTACTTTTTTTTTATTTTTTAATATTACAAAATATTTTATTAAGTAAATATTTTTATACTTCTAAGTAAAGTTGTAAAGCATGTTTTTATGATTTCAACAGTAGTAAATTTATTAAAATTGATATAAAATTTAGAAAATTTATAATTGTACATAGGGTGTTTGAAACATGAGTTTAATTTTTTTTTTTTTTTTAAATTCAGCAGCCATGCCTCAACTTTATTCAAACAATTTGCAAAGCAAATACAAAAAATTAAAAAGAAATACATCTATTCTAATCTCAAGACTGCCCTCTTTTTGCAATTCCGAACTC